CCCCCTGCAGAGTTTTTTCCACACCCCCCCCCCCCCCTTACAATTGAGCTATAAAGGGAAGATTTAATGAAGTGATAGAAGTCTTATGATTGTTGCTGCTATTGTAAATGGTCTAAACTCAATAATTTTCCTGATTTTCTGCACAACCACAAATGTTGAAGTTGGTCAACTAGTGAGGTTTGGTGAGGGAGTATAACATTTGAAACACTCATTATACAATCTTCATTTTACCAAAACATATAAAAAAGTGAGCTTTTTTAGTACAGTTAGGGAAGTAAGTGGTGTGTACAATCAATCTAGAAATATGTCAAAATTATAGGAATGAGTTCTTTGAGTAATGTTTAGATTACAGCATAAATGAAACATACATGGCTGTTTAGAAACAATACAGTGAGGACAATGTTGTTTAAGTTTAACCTGTGGCCTGTAGTATTTCTTGGGCACCACAGCTGTGGCCTTTTCTGTGGATTTATTTGGCAGTTCAATCCCAATATGTAATGGTCTTTTTTTAATGTCTTTGTATGACATATAAAGTTAGGAGTCTCGGTTTAGTAGCTACATACGTCAAAAGATATCGTGCTTTACTGACACTTTTACATAGCGAACATCCACACTGTAAATGTTTAATCATAACAAGTCTAAAGCATTGGAATACAATTCTTGAAGCACTTTAGTTTTCTTTTGAATTTTGTTATTGCATGTTTGCAGGATATAGTAATCATAATGTAATATAATGTATTTCTGACCTTACTTTTAATTGTCATGTTTTATTTTTCAGTTTGTGTTTCATTCATGTGGTATCATTCTAGCTTTTGCTCTTTTTTGTATTTTTGTTTTGTTTTATTTGCTTTAAACGTTTCTGCTTGTTGCAAACTGCTTTGTGTTTGGCCACAGAAATTTACTTCCTTCACAATCTTGTTCCATGTTATCTAGGAAAGGAAGAATATGTAGCTACATTCCGAGGAAATGAATTCTTCTGCTATGACTTGTCCCACAGCCCAATCCAAAGCAGTGCAGATGAAATTACTCTCTCCTTCAGGACCCTCCAGCGGAATGGATTGATGCTTCATACAGGGAAATCAGCAGACTATGTCAACCTTTCACTGAAAAGTGGTGCAGTGTGGTTGGTTATCAACCTTGGATCGGGTGCATTTGAAGCTCTAGTGGAACCTGTCAATGGAAAGTTTAATGACAACAACTGGCATGACGTTCGTGTCACCAGGAATCTACGACAGGTATGTCTTAAATGTTATTTCCATCTATTTTGTGCTATTAGAAATTATAGGCTTGCTTATTAGCACACAGATCATTCATCTTATGTCATTTTTGTTATAAAATTATTACAAACATTCACATACTTTATGCATTTTAGCATTGAAAATTGTGTTGAAATCATATTGCAAGAGATATACAGTCTAGAAATTAGCAGATACTGACATATGGTTATCTCTGCATTTTCTGACTATGATTTGAATTGCTAAATTGCCTATATCATAGAAATTACACATTTTGGTGTTAGAAACATCTTAGATAGAGTGTCTTTATTTGTCTTACACACTTCATTTACAAAATTAATAGAAAGTTCACAGTCAAGTGTACCTGTGTTCAATGCAAATACCTAAGCGTATGCAGGTATTTAAAAAATAGTAGTTTTCCTTGCACATGATTGGATGATGAAATCAAACACAACTTCCCAGGCATAAGTGAACTTTCGACTGGTTTAGTAAATAAAACCTTTTGTGTGTAGTCTGAAAGATTTTATGGTAGAGGTAATAAAACAGCAATTCACTCAACCGATTTGCTTAGTTTACCTATCTACTTGGTTATTCTAGAACCTACAGTGCTGTTGGAAAAATGTTAGTATCTACACTATGTATCCAATTATACATAGTTCCTTAAATAGCTGCTAATACCTTTTTACATTCAGATTTATACTCAAAGGAACAACTATATTCCATAATTGCAACACATCATGACTGCTATAGGACACGGTCATTACAGGCACCCTGCACTGTCTCAAAGTTGTTATATCTTTAAAACAAACACCAACATAATAGAATGGTATAACCGTATATTGCAGTTTTTTAGTTTTTGTGTTAGACGGGCACAGGTAGCAATAGTAGGACTACCCACTGAACAGAGGATTTTGTACTGTTAATGCAGAGGTTGGAAAGCGAAAAGGTCTTATAATGATTGTGCTTTCATTTGCAGTTATTCTCTGCTAATGCTTGTCTAATGACGTATAACTATGGTGCATATGTTTTTCAAATTAGATGCAGAATTTCAGAATTTTAATATATTGCAGTGTCTTCTTTATTTTGCAAAATATTAAGATGACATTGTGGGTTGGGCAGTTTTATGGGATTTGTGAATGGAAAATTAGGATTTACAGACTTTTATTTAGTTTATGTCTGCCTTTCATTATCCTGAATTTTTCATTTTGGTATTTATAGATCTTTCACTAGTTGCAAATTAATATAATTAGTAATTCATCCTATAAAACATTACATACAGCTGTGGTTCAGATATCACTAGTAATATCTGTTGTGTCTTTACCCCAGTTGAGCTTACCTTTAATTGTCAGATGTGCTATGTTAAGCAAGCATTATGTTTACTTCACACTGTAGAACTATTTTCAGTAATTTTCAGAATAATGTATCTGTCTATATCTGGTCTATTTTGTTCTATTTTATTCCCAACCTATATAAAGGTGTGTATAGATAGCTCATAGTTCTAGGTATATAGCTAATTCCAACAATGTTGTATTTCTCTTGTGTGATCTTGTGTTAATGTGTGATTTTTTAAATATTGGAAACCATTACTTCTTATCAATTCTTGTTTCATCTTTTGAAACATTATTTTTTTAGCCACCAAAAAAGACACTTCATTGAACCTAAAATAATTGCAAGTAAGACCTAGGAGTTTTTTCAAGGAGAGATATATTCTGGGAGAAACATGGAGAATAACAACAATTACTTTTTTCCTTCCAAATGATAGTTGCCTGGTAGTCATGCTAACCCTCCTAATTCAATATTTTCACTGCCTAACCAAGAATGAGTATGCAGATAAGCACTTCTGACTAGGGATGACCGAATCTGCCCTGATTTGAGGCAAGGAGGTTTATTAAATCCTGCTTGAAATTCATTAACTTTGCATCAAACCCCATTGAAATGTATAAGGTAAGAATCTTAATACTAAGTTCTGGCCATTCTCAAGACTAATAGACAAGCTGTTGTCAAATAAGTACATGAGAAGCTGGGCCCAGCCATGTGGGACATTTCACAAAGCAAAAAAAAAAAAACATACAGCAGGGAAAATGTCCCTTTAATGTGGCTTCGAGGGCAACATTGGAAACACACCAATTCTATAAGTGACATGCTTGGTAGATGCCTTTCAAGTTGCATGTGGTGTTATGAAACAGTACAATTCTCAAGGACAGCCTCAGTGACACCATATTCTGGCATCACTTACATAACCTTTACATCAGCTGCTATCTGTCACTTAAAAAAAATTAAAAAAATAACCTACACTATAACCATCCCCAAAGTCCAACAAGTTGAACCCCACTTTGTCAAAACTCTTTGTGCTACAACCCCTGCCTCAAATAATTTAGTAAAAATGTCCTGGCTTAGGTTGCCCCAGAATAACACATTTGCATCTTCAATTTCTTTATTTTAATTTGGTTCTTTTTGTCATTTTCATTAATTGTTTTTGTATTGATGAGGTGGTTGGCCTGCATACAGAAGAGGCTAGGCATATCTGCTTTTCCTCACTGCCAACATGACCCTTCTCATTCCAACCACTTAGCAGCTAGTTGTATCTTTTATAATATTGATTTGTTTCATTACAGTTAGGGCACTGGAGATGTAGCTGGAGGTGTAGAGAAAAAGCCTCCAGCTATAGCCTGACCCCCTTCCACAATGCAGGAGGAAGGGCAAACAGTCCAATTCTCCAAGATATATAGCATTTCCGTACCTACAGGACATTCAGTAAGGTTTACATCTAATTTAAGAGACCAGTCAGTGCCTACAAGCCCTACACTAATCTGCCGCTATGCACTTTATCATTAAAAGCAGCACTTCATATGCTTTTCCTATCGCTGGTATGCACATTGCCATTATGGCTGCTGGTAACCTACCCTTTTATGGTGAGGTGGATGGCTTATCCAAAAATCCCCTTATTGGCCTTTCTAAGCCAGATGACCTAAGTGCAAACATGCCACACATGCAGGATTAACCTCAAACCCATGGTAGACCCAAACTCCAACCCTACTTCTGATTTTCCAATATGTATACCTGTTCAGGGGAAATGGCTCATAAAGTATTGAGGCCATAGTGTCGGCATGACAAACAAGCAACTTCCATTTTTCAGAAGGAGGTTAGCAATGACATCCTATATATTCCTCTTAGGCAAAGGAATACTTTAAAGAGAAAAATGTTTGCGAAAATCTTTGTGAATGTCACTTTTTCATACAATAATCTGCATTATAAAATACATGCAGTAAATTCAGTTAATCCCTTTAGTTTAAAAATAAAACAAAAAACAGTTACCTCAAATACATCCACTAAAAGTAAAACACAGAGGTGTTTTAGTCATTGTATTTTCATTATAACCTATGCTGGACTGTTATGGTTCATTTATTTGGATTCTTTGGGTTTTTGTTGTTTAGACACTACTGCTTCTTGTCACTAAATGCAATTACTTAAAATGTTTTTATATTGTTTTATCTAATTGGATGTTGAAGAACAAATATGTAGGCTTTGGTAAACTGATGGACTGCATTCTTGAGTTTTAGCTGATGCATTGAATAGTGATTTATATACATTTTAATATACTAGTATAATACAAAAAAAATGAAATTTTGTATCAGTTTTCTTTAATGTTAGTTATTTTCTATCATTTAATATCTATTTTCCAAAGTCCCAGCGTTACCTGTCCCCACTCACCTGTTGCTCACTTGCTCCCTCTACTAACGTTTTATCTCTGCAAGCTGGAACATAGCATCGTCTTCCTCATTTTATAGAGAGAGCCTGCTTTGGATCAAAATAAATGGGTGGATGAAGGGGGGCAGATTGATTTGGAAGATGAAACAAGGAGGGAACTCTCCTTCCTTTTCCCTACTTGTATTATATATATATATTTTTTTTTTCTTTCGCTTGCGTTAAAGCATGCAGGCATCGGACATGCTCTGGTAAACAAACTCCATTACCTGGTAGATATCACTCCAATTGTATCCCTGGGGTTTATTCCAGCTCCTGTCTTCTGTTCCGTTCACAGCTCAAAAACCTAAAGTCCCTTAACCACTGTTCCCTTTCACCTCTCACCCTAAAACTCTCCTTTACAAAGTCCTTTCTATCTTTTTTTCAGACAATGTTATTGTAGCTTGGTGCACTCATCTATAATTTCAAAATTAATTCCACATTTTTATTGTTTCATTTTGCATCTTTTTATTGCCATTTGTTTCATGGGTCCATGTAACTAGCACAAAATGCTTTCTCAATAGATCCTTGGTATAATCGTTGTTATATTTTTCTACTTGCAAATTTGTATTTGAATTAGGTGCAGGGCAGCTTTTACTTTGTCACTAATGCAAGTTTTAGAAAATAATAGTTACATAATATTTAATGTGAACATTGCAGGAAAAAACGATTTTAGAGCTTTAAAAACTGCATATGCTGTATCTCTTTTTCAGTGCATACACGTGAGCATATGCTTTTAGATTATCTACTATTTTCTGCTAATAGTCACTGTGGGTGTCAGTGACTGATGGCAGCCTACCATTTATTTCATGTATTAGGCAGGGAATTTTGTAGAAATGGTTTTTCGCCGTAGTTGCTCAGTATATTAAGAAAATGTCTTGCGACAGTGTCCTAGCTACTTTTTACCAGGATTTTCTTTGCAAGAGCACTGGAATAGTAGTGATAGTAGTGATATCATGTGGTCTTTAAATGAGTGGCACAGTTACTTTACTATAAATATTAATTAGTCATTAGAATAAATTCAAGGAGATATTGCCTTTGCTGCTTTCTTCATTTCATCAGACATTTGAAATAAGTTTTACATAAGCAAAGTATCAGCTGTATGAAGTTTATAGATTCTATAAAAGGTTTTTTTTTAAAGTTACTTGTTCAACATGGCTTTGTGGTCCTGATTTACTAAAATGTATGCACATACACCGTCACATCAATGCATCTGCAGAGCAGGCTGAGCAACCCAGTCATAGTTTCATATTTTTTTTACTATGTGTACTTGAAACACGCACATGCACATCCTTTAAAGCATACATACAGCAAATTTATTAACAAATCTGATTTGCTCAGGAATGTAGACTTCAGTATCTGCCATGTGACATCTGTTAGTTATTTTGCATTAAGGAAAAGGACCCCTGAATTGCTCAATGATATAGCTAAAAGTGGTTGTAAAAACCACTAAAAGTAAAAATGCCATAGACTATGGGTAAGGGTACCATTAAGGGTACCATAAAGGGTACCACAGTGTGCACACATGTAATATACAGTGCTTGTGCAGAAGGGCTTTGATACCACAAGCATGTGTAGATGGATCTTATACATTGCTGCTTGCATTTGGGGGTTCAAGGGATAGATGCACATAAAAATATATTTCCATACTTGTTCTGACAGCACAGCGCTTCTGTTTTTTAGAGCATAGCCTTTGTTTAGCACATGCGTATCTCGTGTTATTTTTTATGTTAAGGTAGACATAAATGCAGCATTATTTTTCTATTTTATTTAAAATGCAAACAGGGACCGCAATGTTTGCACTGAACATGAATGCACTCATGCCAATTGACATTTTAATCATACTAATAACTTTACAGTGAGTTCTCCATGCTGCTGTGTATTTTATTTTAGTAAATCAGGCCCTATAAATGGTTGTTATGGATTCACAGCATAGGGCGTAGTAGTAGGACTATATCAAATAGCCATCTGACAACGTATGCATGCAAATCATGCTGTAATGCATGTATAAGGTAATCTGATAAGCATTTTGTTGTAGGTTGTCTGTGTAGGTCAGGGTGTAGAGCAGCATCTTGTGGTGATTGTATATATTGTAATCACAAAGAAAACCAGCATGCAATGTCAAATGTGGGGCTAGTTTAGCATGAAGATTTATTTTGATAAAAACTAGTGTTTCCTAGCTCCTCTTCTAAATGTGAAAGGGTCATGTATAGAAATATCATTTTTCGTTTGTGTTTTTTCTTTTTTTTCTATATATTTTTTTTTTGCTCCCTTTTACCTTTCTCTACTCTGGCCTTCCTTGCTGTCCCCCTTCTTTCTCAGTAACCTCACTGACTCATGCACATAATCTCCCAGCATTAAACACTGCTTTCTGTATTACTGAATGGGCTGAGGTTAGAGGGTGGGGGTCTTTCATGGCAGCCTATGTTATAACTTGTGAGAAGTAAGCTTTGGAGTATAGTTGTCTGATTATACACAGGGTATTGTCTAGCTGCTGACCCTTACAACCATTATTTTCTTTCCCCACCTGTTGTTTCTTAGTGGATCACAAAAAATATTTATTTAATCCGGCTGCCATTATAGAACACCCTCCTTCTTAGACAATGCATGCTATAAGTGGGAGGGGGCTGCAATAAGGCATGAATTAACATAATCAATTTCTATCACATAAGTCTTGTACAGTAACTTCACTAACATAACCCTCAGTCTTTCCATTACACTCTACTATTTATTTCCTTTTCTTCATTAATCAGAAAATGCAGTGAGAGATATGCTTAAGATTGTATGTATTTTATTGTAACTTGATGGCTCACTGCAAGTTTTTCTAGTAGTGTTTTCTTTCTTTAAACTTTTTTTCGTATTTAGATCAAATACCATACATATTTATTTTCACACTATTTTTTGTTTTTAAGTCATAAGCAACCACTTTTTATTATAGAAAATTTAAATTCTCCATTTACCACTCAACCCTTCTTGTTTCTACGACATAACTCCTTAATCATGAGACTTCATCTGGCTGCTGTGTTCGAGCAAGCATGGGGCTTTAGCATGAACTGAATGGACCTCTCCCTACCTCCATTAACCTCATTAACTGCATGCCTGAAAATGCAATGCGCCCTGACCAATGATCTTCTTGCCTCTTTGTTCGGGGATGTATTAACTGCATGACCCTCCCCCCTCCTGCATGTCCCCTCTCTTGTGATCTGTGACATGTTTAACTCGAGGTTTGATTACTAATGAACTGAAATCTAATTAATGACTTGTTTACTAATCAACATTTTTGTGTCTGGTCTGTTCCTCTGAGGGGGTCCACTAACTTTTCACTAATACTATACATCTTTCCCTATACCTCCCTTATCACCCCTGTCCCGTGACCGCAAAGCTTCTCCCCCTCCCTAACTCTAACCTTTAACCTGATTCCTTTCCAATTATGGGGAGACTTTGAAGGGCACTGTGCTGGTGTATAAATCAATTGAGATAAAATGTATTTTTAAGCATAATAGGAGAAAATTGGTTACAATCAAAATAATACATATGAGTAAAAAAAAATAGTAAAAAAAAAATAGAATAGAGTAAACATGTAAACTTACCTTTGTGACATTTAGCTAATCAGTATAACAACTTGCACCATTTTTGTTAATTATATGTATGTCTTACAAACAAGTTATTCTTTTATATTAAGTTTTAGTGATAATATTGGCAATGATGTGTCCATTTTGCAATCCCTGAAAAAAAAAAAAAAGGAAATTGCAAAGTTGACTCCTGGTGACTCTTATCTAGGATGTTTTGACAGACCCATAATGTTTTTATCCACAGGTTTTGCCTCATAGTAGTAATCGTAGCAGTATAGTAAAATTACTATAATTTCTAGCTGTAGCACAGTGGTTTTTATATTATTTGATCTTATATAAACCTTTTAAATAAGCTGAAAAGATTGATTAAAAGGTACAGTCTGATTGGTTGATAGAGGTTACTACACTCTAAACATCATCAATACCATTTTCCACTTTTTTTCCACTTTATATGTAAAGAGAACTGGGTTAACAATTGATTTATTAACTTTATGGTCTTAAGCTGCTCATACACCTTACGAAAATCGGCCGATTTTTGTATGTGATCGTATTTTCGTCCGATATTCGTAAGGTTGATGGGCAGTGTACAACCGCAAATACTGTACATTTGACCCACTTTTGACTAACTAGCAGGTTAGAAAACTTTGGTCGATTGTACGATTTTCGCAAGGTTGGTGGCATTTCGGTACATCAAAAATTGTACAATTTACACTGCTCATGTGCAAATGAAAATACGCAATGTCGATTACCGCAATTCGTCCAGGTGATTTTTTACAATTACTGCTGATTGAACCTTGCGATAATCGAAGCAGGATGGGGGCCGCCATAAAAAAATTGCACGCCGGTTCGATCATCCGACGAAGAGTTTCGTCCGATGATCGCAAGGTGTATGAGCAGCTTTAGAGTACTGCTAAGAGCAGGTGCCTGGTAATAATTGGGCAGTAGACTACAACCAAACCCACAGTGCTAGGGAAGGGTGGGCATATTATTAAAGGAGAACTATGAGATGAGTGATTTCCACTCACCTCATAGTTCTAGCCGACCTGTGACAATGAGACTGTCACAGGTCGGCTCAGTAGATCGGGAGATGAGCGAACACATACCAGGTTCGCTCACCTCTCGATCCTGTCACGGCTCTCTGCCGTGACAGGGGGAGGGGCTGGATTCTCCTCTCCCCGCTCCGATCTGCCAGCGCTGACTGGCGGAACGGACGGGGGAGGGGCGGGTACAGCTGGCTCTGCCTCTAGATAGGCAGAGCCAGCTGTCACTCACGCAGCTGGGCAGATCCCGTCATCTACGTCGAGATCTGCTCCGGCTGCGGCGTCTCAGTATGCCGCGAGCTGTAGCTCGCGGTATACTGAGCTTAGGGTAACGGGAGAACGCTAGTTTGTGTCCTCCCGTTACCCTAAGGATAACTATGGTCGGGTACAGCTGGCTCTGCCTCTAGATAGGCAGAGCCAGCTGTCACTCACGCAGCTGGGCAGATCCCGTCATCTACGTCGAGATCTGCTCCGGCTGCGGCGTCTCAGTATGCCGCGAGCTGTAGCTCGCGGTATACTGAGCTTAGGGTAACGGGAGAACGCTAGTTTGTGTCCTCCCGTTACCCTAAGGATAACTATGGGGAAAAACACTGACCCCAT